GGAGAATCCTTTGTTGAGAGGTGATTAGCTGGCCCTGGTTGTTTCTTGTCTGGAGTTCCCCTGTGTTTGAGTCTTGTTCTTTATTTACAGTTATAATTTTAGAGGTTTTTTTTAATACCGGTAGCCAGATTTTGTTCAGACTAGAAATAGGGAGATTTCCCATTCTCTGCACTATGGACTCAAAGAATGATGGATCTGGACCAAACTCTACACRAATACTCAATATGCCCAAAGGTGAACACTGGTGGTGTTTGGGGAAAATAGAATCTTGTCATTTGGGAGTTGTAGTTGCTGGGATTTMTAGTTCACCTACAATCAAAGAGTATTCTGAACCCCACCAACGATAGAATTGAACCAAACTTGGCACACAGTTCTCCCCTGACCAACAGAAAATACTGGAAGGGTTTGGTGGGCATTGACCTTGAGTTTTGRGAGTTGTAGTTCACCTACATCCAGAGAGMACTGTGGACTCAAAGAATGATGGATCTGGACCAAACTCTACACAAATACTCAATATGCCCAAAAATGAACACTGGTGGAGTTTGGGGRAAACMGTTATAGTTGGTGGGATTTATAGTTCACCTACAATCACAGAGCATTCTGAATCCCACCAACAACAGAATTGGGACAAACACCCCACACAGAACCGCCATGGTGCTCATCTCCATTTCTAAGCCCAAGAGCCGGCTTTGTCCATAGACACCTCCAAAGTCATGTGGCCTGCATGACTGCATGGCGCACCGTTACCTTCCCATTCAACTTTTCATTCAACCCTCGTATTTAATGTGCATTTAATTTCATTGCATGATGTATAATGGTGCAAAGGGCGGTGGCTGGAAGAGAGAACCACTGGCCCCTCGATCCCTCAGTCCGGACAAGAGTTGGACCATGGAAACCGGAGGAAGAAGAGCCCCGCCGCCCCCTGCCCCTTCCCTGCCCGAGACTCACTCTGCAAGCAGTCTGCGTTGAGCAGGTCCTGGCACTTCTCGTGGCACTTGACCCCGCACTCGGTGCAGCGCATGCCTTGCCGGGCGATGCCCCAGAGCAGCCCCTCGCACTCGTAGCAGTAGGTGGGGGCCGTGGCCGTCCAGACCTCGAAGTAGTGCGGGGTGGTGGAGGACATCGGGTAGATCAGCGCCTGCAGCGTCTTCTTGAACACGTGCATTTTCTGGAGAGGGAAGGAAGGGAAACAGAGTCAGAGAGCCATGGAATGCAACAGCATCCTGCACAAGGTTGTAGTCCCCATCAAGGATGTAGGCAGAGGGTTAGGAGGGAAAGAAGGGAAGGAAAAGAAAGAAGGAGGGACAGGAAGGAAGGAAAGGAAGGAGAAGGAAGGAGGGAAAGGAAGGAGGGGGTGAAGTAAGGAGGGAGGGAAGGAAATGAAGGAGAAGGAAATGAAGAAAGGGAAAGAAGGAGGAAACGAAGGGAGGGAGGAAAGGAAGGAAGGAAAGGAAGAAGAAAGGAGGGCCAGGAAGGAAGGGAAGGAGGTAAAGAAGGAAAGGAAGGAGAAGGAAGGAGGGAGGGACAGGAAGGAAGGAGGAGGGGAGGAAAGGAAGGGGAAGGAAGGCAGATAAGGAAAGAAAGGGAGGGAGGAAAGAAGGGAAGGGAGTCCTTTCGGGTGGAGTGTGGGAGTCACTCTGGACCGTTCTCTGACCTACAAGAAGCACTGCCTGAACATCAAGCAAAATGGGTGCTAGAAACAATATCATACGAAAGCTGACTGGCACAACCTGGAGATCACAACCAGACACAGTGAAGGCATCCGCCCTTGTGCGCACCCAAATACCTGGGAGACCTACAAGAAGCACTGCCTGAACATCAAGCAAAATGGGTGCTAGAAACAATATCATACGAAAGCTGACTGGCACAACCTGGAGATCACAACCAGACACAGTGAAGGCATCCGCCCTTGTGCGCACCCAAATACCTGGGAGACCTACAAGAAGCACTGCCTGAACATCAAGCAAAAAGTGGGTGCTAGAAACAATATCATACGAAAGCTGACTGGCACAACCTGGGGATCACAACCAGACACAGTGAATACATCTGCCCTTGCGCTGTGCTACTCTGCTGCTGAGTATGCATGCCCAGTGTGGAACACATCTCACCATGCTAAACAGTGGATGTGGCTCTTAATGAGACATGCCGCATTATCACGGGGTGTCTGCGCCCTACACCACTGGAGAAATTACACTGCTTAGCCAGTATTGCACCACCTGACATCGCCGGGAAGTAGCAGCCAATAGTGAAAGGACCAAGGCAGAGACATCTCCAGCTCATCCCCTGTTTGGGTATCAGCCAGCACGTCAACGACTTAAATCTAGAAATAGTTTTTTAAGATCTACAGAGACACTTGCTGGAACACCTCAGCAAGCGAGAGTCCAAAAGTGGCAGGCTCAAACCAGGAACCTCAATCAATGGCTGATACCAAATGAGAGACACAGAAAACTGGGAGACTTGGAAGGTGCTGAACAGACTGCGCTGGGGCACCACAAGATGCAGAGCCAACCTCAAGAAATGGGGCCACAAAGTGGAATCCTCGACATGCGAGTGTGGAGGAGAGCAAACCACTGACCACCTGCTGCAATGCACCCTGAGCCCTGCCACATGCACAATGGAGGACCTTCTTGCGGCAACACCAGAGGCACTCCAAGGGGCCAGAGACTGGTCAAACTTTGTTTTTAAATACATTACAACTGCACCCTCAACTGGCGTCTGACACAATAAATAAATAAAGTCTGCTCTACTGCTGTGCTCAAGAAGCTTCAGATCTGCTAAACTGTTGCGGCTGCTGATCTGCCTTTCTGAAGCTACCCAACAGAGAGAGGCCAAGCGCATGTCTCCCGGGCATGGTCAGTTTTGTTTGCATGCCGCTCTCTGCCTCAGAGGCCCCGGCCCAGCGAAAACAACCCGGCTCGGAGTTTAAAAAAAGAAACGGATGTTCTATTTCCAAGAGTAAGAAGGGAAATAAAATTAGCCAGCGGAGAACAATCAATAAGCCTCCTTGCCAAGGAATTTTAGGCTCGCCTCCAATCGATACGGCCGACGCCGGAGCAGCGCTTCCCAAAGGGCCAAGGAAGCGGCGGAATGACAAACAGATATCAAGACACTCTCTGTCATTTGGAGAGAGTGTATTCAAGGAAGTTACATCTGCATGCAGGACAAGTTACTCTATATACTTGAGCATAAGCCAGGTTTTTAGTCCCTTTTTTAGGCTGAAAGAGATCCCCTGAACTTAGGTTTTTTAAATTATTTTACTCTCTTGTTGCTGTTGTTGTTGTTGGTATTATTATTATTATTATTATTATTATTATTATTATTATTATTTATACCATGCTTTTTCTGTCTACCAGGAGCCTCAGAAACATATTATTATTATTATTATTATTATTATTATTATTAATACTTTGATTTTTTTCTCCACAAGGAGACTCAAAGAGACTTTGTTATTGTTGTTGTTGTTATTATTATTATTATTATTTATACCTTGCTTTTTCTGTCTACAAGGAGCCTCAGAAACATATTATTATTATTATTATTATTATTATTATTATTATTATTATGTCTCTATACCATTTTTATCTCTATAAGAAGACTCAGAGACATTATTATTATTATTATTATTTATACCATGATTTTTCTGTCTACCAGGAGCCTCAGAAATATATTATTATTATTATTATTATTATTATTATTATTATTATTATTATTATTATATATCTATACCTTGTTTTTTCTCTCTATAAGAAGACTCAGAGACATTATTATTATTATTATTATTATTATTATTATTATTATTATTATTATTTACAGTATTTATACCACCTTTCTCACGAAAAAAGTCACCTGGGACTATAACTCAGGCATGGACCAACTTCGACCCTCCAGGTGTATTGGACTTCAATTCCCACAATTCCTACCAGCCTCAGGTCCCTTCCTTTTCCTTTTCCCATTCCGCTTAAGCGGCTGAGGGGGAAAAAGAAAGGGCCTGAGGCTGTTAGGAGCTATGGGAGTTGGAGTCCAAAACAACGGGAGGGCCCAAGTTGGCCCACGCCTGCTCTAACCTGTTAAGGGAAAACAAGAAAGGGGGAAAGAATGAGAAAGGGTGAAGGTAAATCCTCTGAAATTCTTACCATCTCCTCATTGTTGACGGAGGTCCGGATGAGCATGGCCAGGGAGATGCCAGACTTCCGGGCAGCCAGCGTCTTCTGCGGGAGGAAAAAAAGGCAAGCGGTCAAGAAGGAGGTGGCGGTGGCAGCAGGACCACAAGGGAGGACCAGGCAGGGCCTCATTGGACAGAAGAACGGCCTGCCTCAGGGGAGCGTGCTTG